TTGGTGAATGGTGTAACTTTAAGTCGTGATCAGTTCCTGAGTTCGCTTCCCCTTGAAGGCCAATTTTTCGTTCATAATGTCGTTCAGAGGTTCCGATGAATCATCCGCCCCGGTCGCGAGGTTATGGTAGTCGGTGTCGGCCTGCATCCGTTTGGCAGGTTTCCGGAGCAGACCCTGTCCGACCTGGCGCGCGATGCGGTGTGATGCGCCCAGACGCCGAGTCGTGCCCTGCGCTCTTTCCGATCGCCTACTTCGGCCACGTTTACTACCAGGGAATGTCGGTCGGAGAAACGACGCTGGCGCAGCTGGGTTTAACCGGCGTGCCCATCATCAACGTGGAAAACGCCTGCTCCAGCGGATCCACGGCATTCTGGCAGGACGTACGTCGGGGACTGCACCTCGGCGCGTGTTCGACATGGCGACTGGGCGTTGGAGCGGAGGATAGGGCCGGCTTCCGGGCGGGCCGGTAACCGTTACAGCCGACGACAGCCCGGCGCGGTACGTGGGCGGCGACCACATGATGGCGGGGTACGCCCTGCGTATGACGCGGTACATGGAGGAAACCGGCGCACCCCCGTCCGCGCTGGCTCAGGTAACGGTAAAGGCCAGGCAGAACGCGTCGCTGAACCCCTACGCCCACCGCAAGGAAACCTACTCGGTTGAGGATGTGCTCAACTCACGCCTGATTGCCGACCCGCTGACCCTTTACCAGTGCTGTCCGACCAGCGAGGGCGGGGCGGCGGCGGTGCTGTGCGCCGCCGATGCGCTGGATGCCTACGGCATCGACCGCAACCGCGCCATCCGCATTGCGGCGGCCACGCTGACCTCCGGCTCCTACAACGGACGAGGCAGCGACCACTCGGCGTTCAGTCCCTACCGCACCGAACCGGCGGCGCTGCAAGCCTACGAGATGGCCGGCATCGGGCCGGAGGACGTTGACCTGGTTCAGGTCCACGACGCAGCCACCATCGGTGAGTTGCAGCAGATCGAAGCGCTGCACCTCGTGCCCTACGGCGAGGCGTGGCAGGCCACGGTGGCGGGCAGGACGGCCCTCACCGGCGACATTCCGGTGAACACCGACGGGGGTCTGCTGGCGATGGGGCACCCCTTCGGAGCCACCGGGATCCGCATGGTTCACGAGACGGTGATGCAACTGCGCGCCGAGGCTGGCCCGCGTCAGGTGGAAAACGCGCGGGTGGGAGTGGCGCAGTGCTCCGGCGCCGGCGACGTTACCACGGTTCACATTCTGACCAGATAGCACTGACTAGGTAACCGCCGTGACGCGCGGGGGACGGAACGCATCGTAAAGCGCACCCGTCAAGACTGGATCACAATATGGCCAATTTTCTGGTGATGGCGGCGATGAAAGGCCGGTTCGTATCGGAGCAGGGCAACCTGTACGACAATTTTCAGATGCTGGGTTACGTGGAAGAAGCCACGCCCTTTGACGCCGTGGCCGCCTTCTTCGACCGTCCCAAGTTCCCCATCATCTGGGGCGATGTGGAGTATATGTGGGCGGAACGGCTCGCCGAAGACCCGGGCAACGCCCACCACGGCGACTACGAGCGCGTGTACATTGCCTCGTTGCGCGAACGCTGGGAAGGGCAATCGCGAAACTAGACGGTCAACCGGCCAGACGAGAAAGCCGACGCAATGAATTGCGCCGGCTCGTTTGCCCACACCGGGAACAGGCTAAAGACTGGAAGCCTTGTCGCGAAGGCGGCTGAACTCGGTGCGGAATCCCTCCGACATGGCGCGCCGGTCGGTTCCGTGCAGAACGAAGCGCGCGCCCTGCTGAATCCAGTATTCGGACAGTTCCGGCGTCTGGTGGTGCACCAACGTCGGCAAGCCACTGGCCTCACATTTGTCAATGATGCCCTTGACGGTGGTTTTGTACACCTCCTGAGCGTAGTCGTCAGGAACGCCCAGGGAGATGCTCATGTCGTTGGGGCCTACAAAGATTGCGTCGATGCCGGGTACACCCAAAATGGCGTCCAGGTTGTCGACGGCGGCCTGGCTTTCGATGCCGATAATGCAGATGTTGTCCCGGTTGCGGGCTTCGAGGTACTCGCGGCTGGCGGAGCTGGGAAACTCGCCGGTGGCCAACGCTTGCTCAGCGGCCGCGCCCTTGAGTGGGCGGTACTTGGAGGCTTTAACCACCTCGCGCACCTGGTCCACCGTCTCGCAGTACGGGGCGAGGATTCCCTGTGCGCCGGCGTCAATGGCCATCGTTACGTAGTGAGAATCTGGTATGGGTATCCTGACAATGGGCACCACGCTGGTGGTAACAAACATCGCCAGGTAATCGCCCAGCTCACCACGGCTGCGAGGGTTATGTTCCGTGTCGATGATGACGTAATCCAGACCCACGCCGTCCATTATGGGTATCCAGCGGGGGTTGCGGTTCACGCTGATCATCGTGCCGAAGATTCGTCCGCCCTGTTTGAGAGTTGCTTTTAGGTCTGCGCCGCTCATAATCGATTTTTGCTCCTGACCGGGGGTTTTTCGGAGTATAGCACGCGCCCCCACAGGCTACGGAGCGCCTCGCGGTGTGGGTCGGCGCGGCGAATGTGCTAAACTTCTGCGTTGAATCCTGCCCGCCAGATTGCGCTACATAGCGACTCAAAAGACACGGAAACTCAAGAGACACGCCTTTTGCCGAACCAATATCGTTACATCGACACCCAAGCTGGCTGGGATGACGCGGCCGACAGCCTGCGGCACGGGTCTCAACTGGCGCTGGACACCGAGCGCAACGGGCGATTCGCTTACCAGGAGCGCATCTGTCTGATTCAGCTCTGCGATGGCGAGCAGACGCTCCTCATCGACCCGCTGGCCATAGACGACCTTTCCAGTTTCGGCGCAATGCTGGCCGATGAATCCATCGTAAAAGTTATTCACGGTTGCGAAGAGGACGTTCGGTTCTTCGACCATGATTTTGGATTCACCATTAATAACCTTTTTGACACCGGATTAGCGGCCCGGTTCCTCGGCGTAAGTCGTCCCAATCTGGGAGCGGTACTGGAAGAATTCGCCGGGGTAACGATTCCCAAAGACCGGAACCTGCAGATGTCCCATTGGGGCCTGCGCCCACTGTCCGGGCCGGCGCTGGACTACGCCGCCAGCGACGTGCACCACCTGCTGCCACTGGCCGACGAGCTGGAATATCGGCTGCAAAAGATGGACCGAATGGATTGGGTTTACGAGGAATGCCTGCGCCTGCAGGAGTTGCGATACCCGCCTTTGGAACCGCTGGAAACTGCTTTCCGCCGGATCAAGGGCTGGGATGCGTTGAATCCCCGTCAGGCTGCCATATTGCAGGAACTCTATGCGTTTCGCGATGGCAAGGCGTGTTCGTGGGACCTGCCCCCAACGGTGGCGGCCAGCAACGATGACCTGTTGCAGCTGGCTCAATCCGATGGGCCGGTGCGTCGTGGCATCGGCGGGCTGCTGGCCAACCGCTGCTATGGTGAGTTGCTGGATGCGATTGAGCAGGGACGCCGCAACCCGGAAGTACACAAACCAGGCCGCCCAGACCACGGCAACGATCTATGGACTTCAGAGCGTCGCGGGCGGCTCAGGCTCCTGAAATCCTGGCGATCGTCGTTGTCCGACCAACTGACACTGGCGGTGAGCCACATCTGGCCGACCGCCAGCCTGGAGCGGATTGCCATGGACCCCAACGTCCTGGAGCACGAACTGGCCGGCGGCGATGGCGAGGTGCGGCGGTGGCAACGGGACGAGTTTGGGACCGATTTGCAGCACCTGGCCTACGATCAGGATTGGCAATAGTCCGGCGTCGCGCACCGTCAGTGCCGGAGCCAGTGCAGCGCCGGGGTCAGTGCAGCGCCGGGGTCAGTGCAGCACCGGGGTCAGTACGGCAAGGGTTGGCCGGGCCCGATACCTGAATAGCCGACCGGCATCAGGCGCCGAAGGTCATCAACTGTTCGCAGAAGCGGGCGGTGTTCATCAAGTCGGGCACTACGACGTACTCGTCGATGGTGTGCATCAGGTTGGTTGACATACCCACGACGACGCTCTCGATGCCGTTGAGCCGGAACACGTTGCCGTCGGTGCCGCCGCCGGAAGGCTGAATGTTGGGTTCCAGGCCCATGTCGCGCATCACGCGGGTAACCAGCTGGGCAGTGGCTTCGTTGGGGTCGAGCCGGTACATCTGGAACATCATCTCCATCGACTCGGTAATCTCCGCATCCTGATACCGGCCCCGGATATTGTTAACGGTGGAAATAAGTTGCATCCGCAGCAGCTCCAGCGATTCCATGTTCATGCTGCGGAATTCGCCGGTCAGCGACGCCTCGGAGGGCACGGCGTTTCGGACGGTGCCGGCGGTAATGGTTGCGACGTTGAAGGTGGTTTCGGTGTCGATTCGGCCCTGGGGCAGTTCGGCGATGATGTCGGTGGCGATTTTGATGGCGGACAGGCCCTTTTCCGGTTCAACGCCGGCATGGGCGCCGCGGCCACGCACGTTGATGTCAAAAGCCATGTAGGTGGGACTGGCGCCGGTGATGGTATTGACCGGGCCATTGCCATCGAATACCACGGCCTCGGTGCCGCGAATCATGGAGAAGTCCAGGTTGGAAGCACCCACGAGGCCGATCTCCTCGCCGCGGGTAAACACGACCTGCACCGGGCGCCGGGTCCGCCCATCCAGCTTGACCGCTTCCAGCGCCTCCAGGATCGCAGCGACGCCGGCCTTGCAATCGCCGCCGAGGATGGTATTGCCATCGGAGGTTACGCGGTCGCCGACCAGTTGGGGCCGAATGCTGCGACCGGGGTCGACGGTGTCCATGTGGGCCGAGAGCAGCAGAGGGCGGTCGCCGTCTTCGCCGGCGATGACGTTGCCGTGGGCATCGCGTTCCACCTGGAAGCCAAGATCGACCAGCCGGTCGGTTACGTGCTGCGCAACGTCCCATTCTTCACCGGACGGGCTGTCGATTCGAACCAAGTCGCAAAATGCGTTGACTAATCGTTCCTGGTCAGGCATAGGGCACCTCGCCGGAGATGTGGGCTACAGGGATGTGTATTCGCGGTTAGGTTGCCTATTATAGCGTAGGTTGAATAGAATTCATTGCCGACCTGCGCCACTGGACCGAGGTTGGCCCTTTCAACATGAACAACCCGCTGGAAATCCGCCTGGCCACTCAACGCGATGCTGACACCATCGTGGCTTACAACACCGCCATGGCCCTGGAATCCGAGGGCATTGAGCTTGACCAGGCGACGTTACGCGCCGGCGTTGCGGCGGCGCTATCGGACCCGGTCAAGGCATTCTACCTGCTGGCCGAGGTCGACAACCTGCCCGTCGGCCAGTTGATGGTAACTACCGAATGGAGCGACTGGCGCAACGGCTGGATCTGGTGGGTGCAGTCGGTTTATGTCAAATCGGAAAATCGACGGCAGGGCGTTTACCGGAAACTGTATCGCCGGTTGCAGCAACTGGCCGCCGAGCGAGGCGACGTGAGGGGAATGCGTCTCTACGTAATGCGGGAGAACCTGGTCGCCAAACAAACCTACGAAGCGCTGGGCATGTCTCATTCGGAGTATGATTTGTACGAGACGGATTTCTAACCCGGATAGCGTGCGCTCCGAATAGCGTGCGCCGGATTGCGGCAATGGCTCAAGAACTTCCAACCGAATTCCACTACACTGCGCGCGGCCAACTGGCTTTGCGAGCGGGACAACTGGATGCCGCCATTGCAGATTTCAACGACGCCCTTGAACTAAACGACGAGTTTGCGCCAGCCTACTACTACCGAGGGCTGGCTCACCGTAACGGTGGCAACCTGAGCCAGGCCGTTGCCGACTACACGCGCGCGATCATGGCGGACCCACAGTATCCGGTGCCCTATTACGCGCGGGGAGTGGTACGGCGCCACCTGGGTTACTACGAGGATGCCATCAGCGACTACACCACCGCCATCGAGCTGGAACCCGACGACGCGGATTACTACTACGCCCGGGGAGTGGCGCGAATTTCGCTAGGCCGTTACGGAGAGGCCATCGGGGATTTTATGGCCAGCATTCGCATCAATCCGGAGCACTCCAACGCCCACTACAATTTGGGCATCGCTTATCGGGACACGGGCGACCGTGATACCGCCCTGGGCTTTTATGATCGTGCCATCGAGCTGCGCCCACGCGACGCCGACTATCGCTACGCACGTGGGAATCTGCATAGCGACCGTCGCAACTTCGATGCTGCCATCGACGACTACGATGCCGCCATCGCGCTGGTACCGACTTTCGCCAACGCCCTGTACAACCGGGGCATCGCCCGACGCAACCAGGGCGAACCCGCTGCGGCCATTGTCGATTTCGATGCCGCACAATCCTACGGCATGGACACGGCGACGCTGTACCACAATCGGGGCGTAGCGCGGGCCGACTTGGGAGAACACGCGGCGGCCATCGCGGAGTATCAGGCGGCGCTGGCACGCGATGAGAATCTGGCGGGGATTTGGCTTTCGATGGGTAATTCGCAAGCGGCGCTGGCAGATTTCCAGACGGCAGCCGACGCGTACAGCAGAGCAATCGAGCTGAACTCCAATTTGATAGAAGCATACCGGGGGCGCGGGTTTGCCCGTCAGGCGTTGGGCGATAGCGACGCGGCGGCTGCGGACCTGAGCGAGTTCGCCCGCCGCGCCGGCTCGGTCGAATAAGCGTTTATGTCAATATCGGCTTGGGCAGACCTGCGACCGGGCGACCAACTGGGCAATCTGGAGTATTTGATCGACGCTGCGGCGCTGGCCGATTACCAGCAGGCTGTGCATGCTGATTCCCAGTTTCCCAATCTCGCGGCTGACGATTGCCGCGCCCTGTTGCTAGCCCGTTGCGGACCCTTGCCGTTGACAACCGTCTGGCAGCGGCAGGATTTTCTGCGCCCGCCTATACTGGGCCGGCGAATCCAGGTGGGTGGCTGGGTGCGCGAGATGCGGCAGCGAAACCACCAGCGCTGGTTGAGGGTGCCACGTTCGCCGTTGACGAGATCGGCACGGAAATACTGCGTTCCGAGGCTGTTTATCTGATTGGCGGCGATGGTGCGGCAGCCGCCGGGCAACCCCAACAGCCAGCGGTTGCCTTGACTACTGAGCCGACCGCATCCGATTCGCTGCTGACGGCGCGCTCCGACACAGACGATTTGGCGGTGGGCGACGCGTTAACGCTGGGAATGTTTGCGATTCCAGATGGCGATCGGCTGGCCGCTGCCACAACCCTGGGCAGCCGACTGGCCGGCATCAGCGCTGGCAACAGCGACGGCGCGTCGTCAGCGGCAATATGCGGGTGGTTGGAGGGACGCATCGGTCGATATTTTGGCGACGATTTTCGCTGGGGCGGGCGGCTGTCGGTGGCGTACCAGCGTCCGCCATCCCCGGGCGACCGACTTCATGGCGCCGGCGTTCTGACCGGGAGTGATACCGATGCTCGGGGCGTGGTTACCCATCAATTGTCCGTCCCGATATTCAACCAGCCAGGCCAGGTGGTGGCGGTGGCCGGTGCCACGGTAAAGGTGCCAAGCCCCCGCACGCTCTGATACCATCAGTTCCAGCCGGTGTCCCATTTCTGACTCCCCTCGCCTATGGAGGATCAATGCTGAGACCTAACCCACGGTTGGCCGTTGTGCCGGAGGACTGGCAAACTGCCGTCGCGATCGTTGCCCACCCTGACGACATGGAGTACGGCGCGGCCAGCGCGGTTGCCAAGTGGACGGCACAGGGCAAGCGTGTCGTGTACGTTATGGTAAGCAAAGGTGAAGCCGGCATCGACAGTATGCCGCCATCCGAAGTTGGGCCGTTGCGGGCGCAGGAAGAAATCAACAGCGCCCGGGTGGTCGGCGTGGATACAGTGGAGTTTCTGGATCACATGGACGGTGTGATTGAGTACGGGTTGCCGCTACGCCGGGATTTGAGCCGGGTGATTCGACGGCACCGACCAGATGTGGTGCTCACCATCAACCATCATTTGCAGTTCGCCAGCGGGCACCTGAACATGGCCGACCACCGTTGGGTTGGCCTGGCCGTGTTTGACGCCACCCGCGACGCCGGCAACCGATGGATTTTTCCGGAGCTGCTGGAGGAAGGGTTCGAGCCGTGGAACGATGTGCGGTTCGTTGCCGTCTTCGGCGCCACCGTGCCCACCCATGCCGTGGACGTATCCGCGCACTGGGAAACGGGCATGGCGTCCTTGCGTGAGCACAAGGCGTATCTGGAAAACCTGGGCGACGTCGGCGAAGGGCCTTTCGAGTTCCTGTCCATGCACGCCCGCACGGTCGGCACGGCATTCGGGTGCGAATACGCAGCCCAGGCCGAGCTGGTGTACATCAACGACGTACCGGATAGCATGTGAGGACGTTATGCCAAGATTCAGCCAACAACTAAAAGACGAAGCGATGCCCATCTGGGACGCCATTTTTGAGCACCCATTCCTGGCCGCCATCAAAGACGGTAGTCTGCCTCTGGATACGTTCCAGTATTACCTGGGACAGGATTACCACTACCTGGAGGGGTTTGGCCGGGCCGTTGCGCTGGCGCTGGCCAAGGCGCCCGACTCTGCGCTGCTGAAAGAGTTGGCGCATCGGGTGATGACGCCGGTGGAACGGCCATTGCACCACCTGCTGATTGAAGCGGCCGGCCTGGCCATGGACGAGGTCGAGAGCGTCCCTCGCTCACCCACGAACACGGCATACGTTAACCACATGATGAACACGGCGGCGTTGTATGGTCTGGGACCGACGGCTGCCGCGCTGCTCCCCTGCCCCTGGACGTATCACCTGCTTAAGGACTACGTGGGGCAGTCGGAACACCCGCTGTACGGGCAATGGACGCGTTTCTACGTGGAAGGCTTCCTGCAATCCAGCGTGGATGCCTGGCGGTCGTTCGTGGATGAAATGGCGGAGCGTGTCGGGGAGCAGGAGCGCGAGGCAATGCGGTACGCTTTCATCATCAGTAGCCAGTATGAGTATATGTTCTGGGATGCAGCGTACCGTCAGGAAAAGTGGCCGGTTTAGCCGACGGCAACACACATTGCGATTGACTCGCCACGCGGCGGCGGCAATCGCGCTCACCCAACTGGAGGCCGAATATGCCCTACGCACCAATCAACGGCACGCAGCTGTTTTACGAAAGCCACGGAGACGGGCCAGCCATCGTGTTCGCCCATGGTCGCGGCGGCAACCACCTGAGTTGGTGGCAGCAGGTCGCGGAGTTCCAGCACGACTACCGATGTATCACGTTTGACCATCGTGGCTGGGGACTCACCCCCGGGCCCGGGACTGAACCGGATCCGGCCACATTCACCGCTGACCTGCTGGCATTGCTGGATTACCTGGAGATTGACCGGGCCGTGCTGGTGGCGCAATCAATGGGAGGAGTAACCTGCCTGGGCGCAGCGTTACACAGCCCGGAGCGCGTAACCGGACTCGTGCTGGCCGACACCACCGGCGGGATCGGCGACCCGTCAGTTGTCGACGCGCTGCGTGATGTCCACCCGCCAGAGCATCCGCTGCGCCGGGCGCTGAGCGACGGGTTTATCGCCAACCACCCAAAGCTGACCTTCCTGTTTGGCTCATTGGGACGCATCAACCCGGAAATGCCCATCGGTGTAGTATCCGGTTTGTTTCGCAACCCGGCAGGGCCCCAGGCGGCGGATCTCGCCGGCCTGACCATGCCGGTGCTACTGGTGGTAGGCGAGGAGGACAAAATCTTTCCGCCGCACGTCATTGAGGCTGTGCACCGCCTGATACCGGGCAGTCAGCTGGAAGTGGTGTCCGGCGCCGCGCACTCTACGCACTTCGAGCAGGCGGCAATTTTCAACGACCTGCTGATCGCGTTCATCGCTCGGGTTGGCCTGAATACAGCGGCGGTGGCCGCCGACGATTAACCACGGTACACAACCGGCTCACCGCGAAATTGCGACCCTGACACCAAAGCAGGCCGCCCGGATATACCTGGCGGCCTGCTGCATTGCCCTAACGTGGCTGGACTAGAA